TGGATCGGGAGCCAGAATGGGGAATCAAACTCAGGCACTATGGTAGAGGTCATGTTAGCCTGAATGAAGTTCTCTCAGTGATTTTTTTGCTTATTTAAGGAAGAGTGAGCTTGCTTATCTGTTGGTTCACTCCTCAAAGGTCTGCAATCGCCAGGATGGCACCAACCTCAAGTCAGGAGCCAGGGACTGAGTCTGGCGCTGCCATTTGGCCACAGGGATCTAAGTATTTGAGCCTTCTTTGATGCCTGTCAGGAAGCAGGAATTGGGAGGGTAGCTGGAGCAAAGAGTGGTGTTAACTAACCCCTCTGCTACATGCCTACTCCTAAAGTATAAATTTCTTGAGAAATGACATAGGACATACATTTTAATGGAAAAAATCTCTTGAATGTGTTTTGTTTTTTCTTGGTACAGGGGAGGGGACCCGATAATCCATGTGGCAACACATTAAGAAAAAAAAATGACTAAAGTGAAGTGGTAAATGTTCAGTAGTTACCTCAAAATATCCATCTATTTCATGCTCTGTGTAGTCCAGCTAAAAGCAAAACTGTTAGTTAGAATATTTAAAGAAATTTGGCCCAAACAGCTTGTTTGAGTAATATTTAAATACACTGAATGTGCTAGACTGATGGAGTATGTGGTTCTGTTTGACTCTCTAATTGCAGTAATTTTGAACTATTGTATATTTGCTTTGTAAAATTATTTTCTTGTTTCACTTTCCCACGTGTGTATCTGTATTGTGTGTATGTCTCTATGTATGTATGTAATTTTCCTCGTGGGCAAATATGGTATGTTCAGAAAAAAGTACAGGCTAATTTTATCCCTTTTATTTTAAATGTGAATTTTGATTTAAATGAAGTTGTATGTGGATTTCAGCCTTGTCGAAAATCAGTGCTAATGTTTGCACCAGGGACCTGTAGTACTGTCCCCTCTCCTTCAGTTACATCTAATATTCACTGCTACCTGCTTTCCTCATTAATAAAGCGAGATGAAAATATCGGCCGACATCACAATTCTTGTTTCATAGAGGACTGCAACTCCTGCTCTTGCCCTGTCCCCTTTCATTGTAACTTGCTCACACTGTATTACACTGTGCATAAATCAGATGTTCCTGATGGTAAGCCACCTGGACGGTCCTCTGTCAGGAGAGCATTTTACTGTGGAGAATTGGTTGCCATAAATATAGTGCTTTGCGTGTCACTGCCTGAGACATTCATTAAAGTTGCTGTGGCTGTGATTGTGCCAAAAGCAGGCACAGTTGTTGAATTGTACTTGGAGATAATGTAGCTAGCATAAATATAATTATCTTCAAGCAGAATTTTTCCTAAAAGATTTGAGCTTCTGAGCTGTTTGAGTGTTTTTCATTTTGATGATTGGGTCGGGGAGAGAAGTTAGACTTTTATTCCAGAGTCTGTTGCTTGTCGACCTTTGTTTGGAAGAGTATGTATACTGCTGCTCCTAAATTTTCTCCAAGCTGTAGTTATTATTTGAGAGTTAAGCGATTAGTTCAGATATACTATACCAGGTTTCTGTGGAGATTGATGTTATTTGGTTAATGAGCAAAAAATCTTAGAAATAGTAATGTCACAATTTTAATAAACAAATCTCTGTAAGAGTAATTTTTACAAATGAGAATTGATAGATCCATTTTCTATTTGCCCGGGTAGAATACCTATTTTTTTTACATGATTAAGGTGATGCAGGATTAAGCATTGGAGGTCATCAGTTTATAATAGGGATGTGAGTGAGCTGTATTGCTTCCCAGTATCAAGACTTAAACATGTAATTTCTGTCATTGAGGGTTTGAGAGAGATCACACCAGACAAGTCTAGGGTGTATTAAGGAGTCTTTATTACCAAGCTTGGTGATCGCAGGATCCAGTAGAAATTATCAGATGACAAGTGCGCATGGCAATCCACTCTGAATAGAAGCTCTGAGAGGAACAAATGGTCATTACCATGAGGTCTTCCATTAGACTGAAAACCTATATTCCAGCTTCCTCAGCAGTATAAATTATCCTAAGAGACATGCAACAAACAAGCTGGACACACTTAGAAAGCTGCAAACATTCACCTCTTAATGGCCTCTCTGTCCACGTTCCATTATTGCCAGGCCTCACCTCTCCTGGAACTCTTGAAAGTACACAAATTAGAAATACAAAGCATCTTAGCATTAACATGCTCACTAAATCACCAAAGTAGTGAACAGAGGGTGAGGAACACCGACACACAGGGGCCAGGCTCAGGGACTACCTGTCCCTGGATCTGTCCCCGGAAAGCCAGAGCAAGCAGGTCCCTCGGCCAAGAGGAGGCCCCTCCCTGTCGTGGGCCTTCGTGGGACTTTTGAGGGGCGTTGTTATGCAACGGTGCAACACTGCCCCCCCCCTCCCCCCGCTCAGGTTCCATGTGAGGATGTGAGTGTCAAAGGTCCACGTGGGGGCGGGGGTGCTTTCAAGCTTGGGACTTGAGTTAGCTGCGTAAGACCACAAACATAATGCTGTGATTTTCATTGGCCTTAGAACTGAGATGTTTGATTTTGCAACAATATTTGACCTTTTCTGTAACATTTTATGTAGTAAATAAGGTTTGAAATTGAATTTCATGATGCTTCATCAGATAATTAGATTTCTTGAATATTCCATGCCCTTTAAGGGTTACAGAGGTTAGGTTTTATTGATTGCTGCTTTGGAGTTGTAAGATTTTGTCTGTTTTGTGCCGCTGCAACAAAACTTCAGAGACAACATAATTTACAAAGAATAGAAATTTCCATACAATTCTGGAAGTTGGGAGGTCTCAGGACAAGACATCTGCTTTTGGCCTCTACTGGGGGCCTTCTCTCGAGGTGAGAAACGCTGCCCTCACGTGGCAGACGGGCAGAAGAGCAAGCTAGCCATTGCTGCCTTTAGCCTGTTTCCTGAGTTTTAATCATGTGAATAAAGAAGGAACCCACATTGCCTGTATCACCGCCTGAAGGCCTCCCTGTTAGCACTGTCAAGCTATAGCAGCAGAATTTTAGAGGAGACATATTTAAACCGAAACAGAAGTGCCACAGTGCTTCAAGAAATGATTGGGAAAATGGAATTTTAAAAGTAAGTGTATGGGTAGGCATCTTGGTCAGTGGGTGTAGCTACTGCTTAGGGTATCCACATCCCGTGTCAGAGTGCCAGTTCAAGTCCTAGCTCCTCCCATGCCAGTCCTGCTTGCTACTAGCACATCATGGGAAGTGCATAATGACTCAGTGTGTGGGACTCGGCCACCCCAGTGGGAGATGCAGATGGAGTTCCGCTCCAGCCTTGGCTTGGCCCAGCTAGTGCTGTGGTAGGCTTTAGGGGGATGACTTCTCTCTCTCACCATCTTTCAGTTTCTTCTGTAAACTTTTAATTTCTATTTTGTTTGAAGACAGAGATCTTCCACCCACTGGTTCATTCCCCAAATGCTACAGCAACCTGAACCAGGCCAGACCTAAATCAGTATTTTGGACCTCATTCTAGGTCTCGCACAAGGGTGGCAGGGACACAGTGCAGGGACCATCACCTGCTGCCTCCAGGGTGCACATCAGCAGGAGGTGATGTGCATTGGAAGCAGAGCAGCCGGACCTCATGACGTAGACACTGTAGGAGATTCAGGTGTCTCAAACAGTGACTCCACACGCCTGCCCTCCCATCGGATTGTTAGGAGATCAGGGGCATCTTTTTCTTTTTAATATTTATTTATTTTTATTGGAAAAGCAGATTTATAGAGAGAAGGAGAGAAAAGAAGATCTTCTGCCTGCTGGTTCACTCCCCAAGTGGCCACAACAGTCAGAGCTGAGCCCATCTGAATCCAGGATCCTGGAACCTCTTCCGGGGCCTCCCACATGGATGCAGGGTCCCAAGGCTTTGGGCTGTCCTCCACTGCTTTCCCAGGCCATAAGCAGGGAGCTGAGGGGGAAGTAGAGCAGCTGGGACATGAACTGGCACGCATATGGAATCCTGGCACATGCAGGGTGATGACTTTAGCTATCATGCCAAGCCCATGATGTCTTTTATAATAGGAAACCACATGGACTGTAATCCTGGGAAATTGTTTTAAAATAATGTATAGGTTATATTCCAAACATTCCCTGGATCTATTGGAACAAAATTTGTATTTTAGAAATGTAAGTGAATAGAATGTAACATATGGTTACATTCCTCATGTTCTTGAGAAGATTAATTGATGTTACCTAAGGTTGAAGGAGAAGGTTTGTGATCAAATGAATTTGCAGTATGCTGGATTAAGCAGTGCTAAGCTTTATTTGAGTTTTCCAGAGCAGGTACTGTTAAAATATTTTGGTGAAATTAATCAAGTCCTTGATCTCATTTTATTTTGTGTAATCTTTTCCTCTCATCACAGAATAATGTACAAGGTTCATGTCACATTCTTGTGAAGGAAGGAAACACCTCCTTTATGTTTGAAAGGTCTCCCCATATGAGAAATTGTATGTAAAAATTAGAAAGTTTTCAGTTCTATTTTCTGCTTGAATTTGATGAGGACATGAGAAAGAAGATAAATGAGATTGAAAGTACGATGGAAACAAAAGGAGAAACTCAATAGACCAAATATTAAAAATTTTGCTTTAACTTAAATTTTTCTAGGACACATATTTATGTCTTTTTACAGAATAAGCAGAATAACCTGTTTTAAAATCTTCTAAAATTGCTTCTTTGTGCTATTGGAGTATTACAGGATTTTTAGTAGAGAGAATGTATTGTGGTTGTATTCTCTGCCAATTGAGGATGTTGTATAATTTTTTGTTATTCTTGGCTCTGGGCATAATTTGCTTCACTTCACAGTTTCCTAAAAATTTGAGACTTGTATCTATTTCTACTCACCATACACTGTGGCTTCTAGTTTTCTTTTACAATATTATTTCCAGTTTTGAACACTTGACTCCAGAAAGTTGCAGTGTGTATCAGAACATTGAATTTTTTTTTTTCAATTAAGCCTCTAACTGCTCATCCTGCACGTGTGTCTGTATTTCAGATGGAGCAGCTGTCCGATGAAGAAATTGACCATGGTGCTGAAGAAGACAGTGACAAGGAAGATCAGGACTTGGATAAGATGTTTGGAGCCTGGCTTGGGGAACTGGACAAGCTCACTCAGGTGAGAGGTGGTGCTTAGACATTGGTGGTCATCCTTGCATAAGGGATTAGATAGAAGATGAATTTGAAATGCATCTGGAGTGGGAAAGGGTCCAAGAAATTAGAAATAAATGAGTAGTTACTGTAGAACACAATATAAAGTGGTTTTTTGTTTTGTTCTACAGTTTTTTTCTTAATAAGATTCTATTTCTCTAGTGGGATTATTTATATAATCTGTATCATATTTTTGAGATTGCTAGCTTTAAAATATAAAACCAAAATTTCAGCAAATTCTGTTCCATAACATAGTATATTTGAATACATTCACAACATAAATACTTTTCCTCACTTCTAGATATTTTCTACTCTTTGATCCCAGAATTTTTACAACATTTCTCAGCTCACTGCTTTGGCCTGGCTGTAAACTCTGTCCTTGCGAGCACTCGAGGAGTGAGTGACTCAGAAGAACCAGGTTTTGAACCCAGGCACGCCAGTATGGGATGTGAGCATCTTGACCAGGAGGCCAAATGCCTTGTCCCAGTCTAAGTCTTGATTTGAAAAAATTGTAATTGTGGCATAGAGATAATAACTGAGGCAGAAAGAGGAAGTAGTGCAGGAGAAATAGAAAATGATAGTCCGTGAAGGAATGTGCTGACGTGTGGGGTGTCCTTGACCATTTGATTTCACTGTCCATATTTGGGGGTTGGGTGGTGTTATAAAGAGAAGACAGGTAAGTGTGCCTCCAGCCACTCCGATGGAGTTCAGTTATATCCTGCTCCACTGCAGGTGCCATTTCCACTGGCTTGATACCTTGTATTCTTCCCTCTATTTCAGAGAGCCTGAGATAAACATGAATAGTCTTTCTCTTAAAAGTTGACTCCCAAGCTAACACTGGCTATTTTCACTATGTAAATCTATTTTGGGTAAAAAAAAAAAATAAAACCATTATATAATATGCTTAATATTAATGTGTTACAGTAAAAAAAAAATTTAAAGATTTATCTTATTTGAAAGGCAGAATTATGCAGGCAGATTTGGCTGTGAAAGCTGCAGCTGACAGGCTGAAGCCAGGAGCCTGGAACCCTATTTGGGTCTCATGTGGGCGGCAGGAGCCCAGGCATTTGGGACCATCTTTTGCTACTTTTCCTTGATACATCACTTGGGAGCTGAATCAGAAACTCACAGCCTCTGCACCACAATGCCTGTCTCAGCGTGGCATTTTTATTTGAAAGGCAAATTCACAGAGAGGTATCTTCTATCCACTGGTACCTTCCCCAAGTGGCCGCCACAGCTGGAGCTAAGCCGATCCAATCTCAAGTCAGGAGCCAGGAGTTTTTCCTGGGTCTTCTGTGGGAGCACAGTGACTCAAGGACTTGGGCCATCCTCCTCTGCTTTTCCAGGCCATAAGCATGAACTGGATGGGAAGTGGAGCAGCCAGGACACAAACCGGTACCCATATGGGATTCCAGCACCGCAGGCAGAGGATTAGTGTGCTATACCACTGTGCTGACCCCACCAATATGTTATTTTTAATATTTAAATTTTTTCAATAAATGATTTGATATACTGTGTTAGTGGCTAAACATAAGTTTGTTGTTTACTTCATTGCTTTAGTTCATTCACTACAGTGTTATCTGTTCATGTTTCAATATTAATGCTATTTTTAGCTTTGTATTGAATCAGACTTAAATTTTTCAGCAGTTAGTGCATCTTCTGAAGTAGTTCGTAAAGTTTTGCATGTATCTCCGGATAGGATTCATAGTGTTGGCGTTGTTTTTAAATGAAATTCTTGATGACCTTCCAAAAAAAATTAAGAGCTACTCTGCTAGATTTTCAATTTTTTAAATAAAATTTATTTTATATAGAGACTGAATGATTCCATCCACTGGTTCACTCCTCAGGTAGTGGCATTGGCCAGAGCTGGGCCTGACTAAAGCCAGGAACTTGGTTTGGGTCTCCCATGGGTGCCGGGGCGAGGCACATTAGCAGCAGCTGGATCAGAAATAGGGCAGCAGGAACTCAGAGCAGCAGCATAAAGGAGGCTGCTCAGGTGTCAGCTTCACCCATATACATATCGCTAGCCCGGATTACCAATTTCTTGACCTAAAGAGTATTCCTCCTTATTTCCCTTATCGCCATAGTCTAGTGTCATAGACAAAGCAAATCATTGTAATAAATAGTCTTGTTTGAGCTGCTAAATGGCTTTTAGTGTATCCTCAAATATATTCAAATTATTTCACAGGAAACCTTGCCTACTTCTTACACTGTGTTTCTTCTGTGAGAAGAGTTAGGTCTGAAATGGCTGCAAAAGAATTAGGTTTCATGTTAAAAGAAATTGCTGGATGAAACTTTGAAAAAAAAAAAGAGGTGGTGAAGAGGTTATAGATATGTCTCAGTTGATAGCTGTAGAAATGGGTGAACACTGTGAATTCATCTCACTTTGAAATCAATGATCAAGAAGATAGCCTTCTGCTGTAAAACCATAGTTCTACAAACACAATATTCAGCACTCATTCTCAGATTTGAAGCTTACTTGATAACTTATTTTAGGTACACGTTAAAGTTTGAAAAGGTCATTTTTAATATTTGCGATTTTATTTATATAAACAGTAACAATTTTCTTTCCACTTGCTCTAAGCTCCTCTGTTTTAACTATCTTTTTTCCTTACTGTTAAAGAGGTAGAGGGTTTGCGGGGGGAAATACTATTCAAAAAGTGAATGTGCTCACTTATGAGCAGCAGTAACCACAGTGCAGAATAACTAGCTTTGTCTCAGGCTCTGCAACTGAATTACTTACAGCCTTCCTTCACCTTGATGGAGTTTGAAAAGAACCAGGGGTATTTCATCTTTGATGTGTCTTGGGTCTGAGAGGATGAAAACTGAGTTCCTAATTGCTCCTTGTCTGGGAATACTTGTTGCAATGAGACCCTGATGGACCAGAAGCCAGTGTGCTTGAGGGAAGATGACGGAACTCTGCACGCTTCCTGTTTCTTGTCTCGCATGTCCATATTTACATGCTAAGCTTATTTTCTAGTGAATTTATGACAAATGAGGTCAGTGTACTTAATGTATTTCAGAAGATCATTGCTCCAAGCTGTGATGTCTCAAATCTCAGGGGTTTGAAGGTAAGCATGCAGGGGTGAGCGCTTAGTCTAGCCGTTAAGACCCTGTTTGGACCACCTGCATCCCTTCGCCAAGTGGTAGGGTTTGAGTCCTGGTTCCTGTTCCAAGCCTTGCTTGCTGCTGGTGAGCACCCTGGGAAGCAGTGCTTGGCTTAAGTAGTTGGGGTTTCTACCCCACGTGGGAGGCTGCAGTGAGTTTCCAGCTCCTGCCTTTAGCCTGGTCCGGCCCTAGCTGAGGTGGATATTCGGCAGGTGAACCACTGGATAAAAAGCTCTGTCTGACTGCTTCTTAAATAAATAAGAAATAAAATTAAGACTATATCTAAGAATTGAAATAACTGTAATAAAAATAATGTGAACATCAATTATATTTTTCCTTAAGGCTTGTCACTTAAGAACTTTGGTTTTCTTTATTACTGTGTGGTAGTTCACATTATCATAAAGCAGATTTTACTCATCTTTTCATATAATCAGAACCTGAATGTAATGTTGCATATTAAATTTTCTTTTTTTTGAAGAGTTTGGATTCTGATAAGCCCATACAACCTGTGAAAAGATCTCCTCTTCGCCAAGAAACAAACATGGCCAATTTTTCTTATCGCTTCTCCATATATAACTTGAATGGTAAGGTGTTACTGGAAATAAAATATAAAATAGTATTCTTTATGTTATATAGGAAGAATATAGCTAAAATTGCAAATTTTACAAAAGCTATAAGCGTAACTTAGACCTGAATTCTTCTGTTTTTTAATTTGTGTATATGTTACTACTTCATATTATTATCACAGAAAAAAAGCAAACTGTAACATAATTAAAATAATTTCCTGGTTGATTTAGTAATTGATAAAGTATATACTTAGAAGGAACCTCATAGCAAACTAAATGGCACTGTTTTTTTCAGGCTAGATTTTAAAAGTTCAGTGAAATCAGCCTCTTGGGCCTTTAATTATTTCTAAGGTAATTGGAATTGATATTGTAGTCTATAACTTTTTCGACCTTTCACTTCTGTTTTTAAGCCCTCAGCTCTTTTCATGTTGTCTCCACAAGATCATTTATTATACTAACCTATGTACTACATGTATCTTTAGATATACTAAAGTCTGGTGAAAAAAATTTCCCAGGGAGTAGTAAAAGCCCTGGAACAGTGTGGGATTTTGGAAGCATTTTTTGTCTTTGAATTCATTTTATTCTCCTCTGATTGCCACAAAACTGAAAAGATGGATTATTTACCTCTAATACCTAATTCAGTTTTTTAAAGCTCAGTGAGGTGATTTCTTTTGCTTGGTGCATTGATTAACAGATTTGTAATAGAATCTGTATGTGCTCACCTGTGTGCCCCGGCCCCCATCACCTGTGTTGTCCATTGCAGAAGCTCTTAATCAAGGAGAGACTGTGGACCTGGACGCCCTGATGGCCGACCTCTGCTCTATTGAGCAGGAGCTCAGCAGCATCGGTTCAGGAAATAGCAAGCGTCCAGTCACAGAAACAAAGGCTACACAGAAACTACCTGCTGGCCGCCATGCTTCAAAACACGGCACTTTGAAAGCTTCGTCTTCCTCATCTAATTGGATAACCAAACCTGCTCAAGCTAACTACTCCCTGGATGACATCACTGCACAGTTGGAACAGGCCTCCCTCAGCATGGATGAGGCTGCACAGCAGTCTGCTCTGGAGGATTCCAAGCCCCTCGTCACCGGTCAGCACCGGAGAACCGCCTCGGCAGGCACCGTGAGCGACGCCGACGTGCGCTCTGTGAGCAACTCCTCCCGGTCCAGCATCACTTCTGCAGCCTCCAGCATGGACTCTCTGGATATTGAGAAAGTAACACGCCCTCAAGAGCTCGATTTGACTCATCAGGGGCAACCCATCACTGAGGTAAACTGATGGCACTTTCTTCCCGTGGTGTTTTCAGTAGTAAAATAGTAGTAAAGATAGTTTTAATTAATTTTCTTGGTTTTTCTACATTTAAATGTTTTCAAGGATATTTCTGAGCTAAGTTCTACAATCAGACTTCAGAAGGAATATGTTACAAGATACAGAGATGCCATAAAGATGGTTCAGAAGAAATTTAGTTTCTTCTTATGACTGGAAGTGCTTGAATTAGTTAATACTGGTTGTTTCACTTTATTTTAAAGATTGAAATGTGATTTGCCATTGCTGTCCGTTGAGATTGTAGCTTTGGGGCTTTGCTGTTTTGTCAGGGTCAATGTGTGTAGTGAAAAGAACTGCCTGGGTTGGAAGCAGAAAACTTGACTCAAGGTCGTCTCATTACTGCTCACTACTGATGAAACTTGGAATTCTTCTTCCTTGCTGAACGTGACTTTCTCATTAGAAAAGTCGAGTTAGTAGTGCTCAGTCTGCCTTCCATACGGGTGGTTGAGAATTGAAAGTAATAAACCATCAGGGTTTTTTTAAGTGAAATTTGTCTACTTTATGATATCTGAGAGTTGAAGTTAGAGCAGACTTCTGGAGTATGCCATTATTTGCTATTAGATTTATCTGCTGGGATGAATAAATGAGATTTTATAGGAGATATTTCCTTGATCTTGTTTTGCACGATGATACTACTTTTTTCCAGTCAGGTTAAGATACCTAAGGACAGATTATAAACACCTCACTAAAGATCTTTTCATCTTAGGTGTGTGTCTGTCTTTGTAAAAATATGCTTGTCTTAAAAGTTTAAAAAATTTGAGGGCAAGTACAGAATATATTTTCTCCACAAACACACTCTGGTAGTATCTAGCGATTCCGTGTGCAAGGCTATCAGCATTCGGGGGGGTGTCATGTTTATTGTGAAACTTTATGGTGTGGTAAGTAAACAAGAAATAAAGCAAGGAAAGGAATTGTGTCTATCTGCTTCTTTTTCCTTACTCAGAGGTGTGTTTTAACAAACCTAGAACTTGCTTTAGTACTTTTTCTGAGTCTAGTACGTTCTGGTTCAAACTATACAAAGCTATGATATGGTTAATAGCTCTCAAACCCATATATCAAATTATCCTTAAAATCAGATTCAACTTAAAGAATATTTTAGGGGCCAGGGTTGTGGCATAATGGGTAAAGCCTCCACTCATGATGCCAGCATCCCACATGGCCACTGGCTGTAGTCTCAGCTGCTCCACCTCTGATCCAACTCCCTGCTAATACTCCTGAAGATGCAGTGGAGGATGGCCTGAGTGCCACCCATATGAAGGATCGCCATCTCCTGGTGGCTGCCTGGCCCAGCTCTGGCCCTTGTGGCCATTTGGGGAGTGAACCAACAGGTGGATGATCTCTTCATCTGTTGTTTACAACTACTCTGCCTAAAATAAATAAGTGAATAAATCTTCTAAAAAGGAGAATATTTTCATCTTCTTATGTGTGGTGTTAATAGTTCTGTGAAACCCCTTTACAAAAATACTCGCCTGCCCCCAGCAGGGGTTGCGTTCTCCCACAGGTTAAGTATTTTCTATTTGTCAGCTGATTCTTCTGGCATTTATCTTCAGATCATTAAACCCATGCTTATGTAACTGTTTACTTTTTTTCCCCACTTGATGACTTCTGATTCTGGTAGATAGACTGTTTCTCCCTTTCAGTGGTTCCCCCGCCTTTCTCCCCTGCTGTTGCCTCACCCTCAGTATATTTTGATTGACTTAGTCTTCAGTGTGTGTGAGGGTAGTTGTATATTTGGAATTTTCTGCTAGACTTGTACTGTATTTCCTTCTGGGGACATCATCTTGCTTTCCTAGGCTATTATCATCAGTTTAAAGAAAGATTCATTGTTTGTGTATTTATCATCATTTTAACTCTGTCAACTTTCCTCCAGGTTATTAAATGTGTCATTTGGTTAAAATAAAATAATATGGTGTTGGTTTTATCTTAAAATTCCTTTCTGTTTTTGTACTCTGTAATATTGTTCTGAGAGGGCTATTGCTGCCATCCTTGAAGCTGGTATCCCGTGTTCTAGTGCTAGTTCAAGTGCTGGCTATTCCCCTTCCAAGCCAGCTTTCTGCTGCTGTACCTGGGAAGGCAGCAGAAGATGGCCGGGATCTTAGGCTCTTGCCTTCCATGTGGGAGACCACGATGGAGCGCTGGTTCCTGGTATTAACCTGGTCCAGACCTTGCTATAGAATCCTTTTGGGGAGTGAACCAGCAGATGGCTCTCTGTCCCTCTGCCTTTCATATAGATATATGAAATATTGAGGAAGCAAATATGAATATTATTGTTAGGGATGAGCTTCTTCAGGGAAGATCCTTCAAGTCTCCTACAGAGAGAACTGGTGCTTGGTTAGCAGTAGTGGTATTAGCAGCCCGTTTGGGAAAGATGGGTCAGTGTGGGGCGTGGTCATCAGTGTTCATTGTTTGGGTTTTCATCCAGTCCTAGGTTAGAATTTCTCAAGCGTCGGCACTGCTGACATTGTGAGCTGACTTTGTCATGAAGGAGGTGTCCCACGCATTCAGCTCCTCACCTGGCCTCTGTGCACTCAGTGCTTTCCTGTAGCTGCGACTCCTTCCCCATTAGATACTCACAGTTCTAAGCAGAAAATGTTGACAGCTTGCTGGAGCCCTTTTTGTCATGTGAAATAACCTGTAGTTTTCATCTCCTGGCATTCTTTTCATGAAAACATGCTGGATTAAAAATACAGAATATTTGTAGGTAATATTTTTATTATAAAATTTACTCCTGATCTGTGTGAGTTTGTATGAACAAGAAAGACTGTCCATCTTTATACTTGTATCTTACTGCATCGTCTCTGATGACAGAAATTAAAGCACAACGTACAAACCACTGGATCCGCTGTGGCTGCTGCCTCACGTTGCCTTCTGATTCCCTCGGGGACACTGAACATTGTCCAGCTTGTCTGGGATGCCAGCATGCCCTCTGCGGTCCAGCTGTGGGTACGCAAGGCTCCGCCTGCCTGCAGTTTGCATTCCCCATAGCCTAATCAATGTTTAACTTTTCAGGTGATAATAAAATGCTCTGTTAAAACAAAAAGGCAGGGACCCTCAAAAAAAAAATTAAAATTTTTTTTAAAAAAAAGAACCATAGGATACTAGGAGAAAACAGCTTGATCTCACAGTATACAGTGTAACTCATAGTATACAGTGTAACTCTTGAAATGAATGTGAACTTGTCCCTTGAGGGTCCCTGGGATTTACCCCGCGAGCTGTTACAGTGTAACACTAATTCCTGTGTGACATAAAGTTTGCTTAAAACCAAGGCAGTGCCTGCCTGTGCATAGCCTGCACATGTCTCTCCACATAATCTCTTTCCCTAAAAGGACCTCTGGTGGTCATGTGGGGTTCCCAGCAATGCCCCTGAAAAGATGCATGGACTTCATTGGAAATGGCAGCTGTAAAGCTAATATGCCCACATGCTGTCTTCGTCTTTCTGTGGAACTTAGTGAGCCTCATGCCAGGCAGCTCTGTTAAGACCTTTGGCTACCCCTCTGAACAGGAGCACTGTTAAGGGACATGTAAAGGTAGGACTCCTGAATTTGCTGATTTAAAAAATAAAAATCTTTTCTTTGTTGGAAAGGCAAACTTACAGGGAAAAGGAGAGACAGAAAGATCTTCCATTCACTGGTTTACTCCCTAAATGGCCACAATGACTGGAACTGAGCCAATCTGAAGCCAAGAGCCAGGAACTTCTTTCAAGTCTTCCATGCGGGTGCAGGGTCCCAAGGCTTTGGGCCATCCTCCACTGCTTTCCCAGACCACAGGCAAGGAGCTGGATGGAAAGTGGAACAGTCAGGACACAAACCATCACCCATATGGCATCCCAGGCATATCAGAATAAGACTTAGCTATTGTGCCATCACTATGGGCCCAGCACTCAACTTTTCTTGGGTATGCTAAGTTAGTTAACACTCAAATAATTATATGCTGTCTGGTGTCTGAAATTTTGTCATTATCTTTTCACATATGCCTCATCTTTGTGGTCTCACCCTAAAGCTCTGCCAAAATATAATGCCTTATTTCCTGTACTTAAGGCACATTTGCTTCCCCTAAGCCCATCATGTTCCCTATTAAACAGTGGTTTACAACCCAGAGCTATTTTGTACCCCAGGATTTCTGTAGAGGAGCAGCATTGTGGTGTGATGGGAGAGTGCTGTTGGCAGCCAGAGGATAGAGGCCGGAAGTGCTCTAGAACACCCCTGAGGACAGGCCACACAGCCCCAAACACTGCCTAGGTTGAGAACCAATATTCTAAAATCAGGTGGCATCTGTCAGTTACTGTCAGGACACGGGCACATGTAGTACACTGTGTGGCATCTTCTGAAGACAGTTGCTGATAAAAATGAAAATACCAGTGTCATACAGTCACAGTTTCAGGAAATATGAGTATCTTTTTCCAGCTTTTTCTCCCCTGAGCTCCAGGTATGTGTAATCAGTGTCTTCATTTGGATGTCCAATGGACAGCTCAGGTTTTCACTGCCACCAAGCCACCACCATCTTGATCTAGATTTTTACAGTAGCCACCAAACTGGTCCTTCCTGAACCCACCTTCCCCTTGACAGTCTGTTATCCACACTAAAGCTGTAGCAATCCTGGTAAAAGTCTTGGAGAACCATACCTGACCTGCTTTCCTGTTGCTTCTGACTCCCTCTGTTTTCCTTCCCTCCCTTACCTTGCCATGTTTGGCAGCAATGAGAGCCTGCGTCTGAATCTTTACATGGATGCCCTGTGCAGTTACCTGCAAGATACCCGGTTACCACTTTTGCGATTTACTCAAGCTTCATATTCCAAGGAGGCCTTCTTTGCTGTTGAAAAAATTGAACTCCTTTCCTTCCGTCCTCTGTGTGTATGTGTTTAAATCCCCCTTTTCTGCTCTAATTACCATTTAATGTGCTATTTATTATGTTTTTGTTTGTTATCCAACTTAAATAGAAACTTTA